GTAGAAATCTTGGGAAAAAAGTTTTGAATTTTTCCATGTTTTATTTATTGATTTGTGATCGCGCGACACGCCTTTACATCAAACCTATGAATAAGAGTTGAACACGGAAACAGCAATGCAGAAGGAGTTCAAAGAGGGGCGAGGACCATGGAACAAGGTTGCAGACGGGAAGGGAAAGGGGAGAATGACAATATTATGGAAATTCAGAAAGTACAACAGTGTTGTCATTGCTTTGCTTTTACTTATCATACGTATTATAGCGATATCTCTGACTTGTATTACATCATTCTCATGTGAGGCTTTTATGGTAAAAATTAAATGTTTTCATATATCTAATATGTATACGTGCTTTCTTTAGACTTCCCGGCAAACCTTGGATAAGAGCTGGTTTATCTCTAATGACTTGACGAGTTATGGGATTTTTCCAAGTTAATTTTAAACTGGTATCTTCCGGACAATCAGATTGTAACCGTCGATAATATCGTAAAGACCATAAACACCTTTAAAGGCACTCAACAGTATAATAACCTTACTTACTGCATAACAGTAATATTATTGGGATGGAGTGAGACCAAACAATCCTCTTCAGATCAAATTTGAAATCACACGCTATCATCACATATAGATTAACGTTCTTGAGAGCCTTCTCGAACACATTAGAATGGCACGGTTCTACAATCGTTTTCAATGAACCTGCTCAATCTAACGACCCTCGTTCATTCCGAGATAAACAGTTGATTTTTTTTTGTATTCGGCCGTCGTTAGAAAGTTGTAAATCGCCCGGTAGACATGCTTAATGAATTTGGGGTATAAGAATAATAATATTAGCTTTGCTGAACTAATGCTGATGATGTTAAATATGTTTTTGTAATAAAATCAGAGTTTGACAACATTAATTAGGATGCGAAATATATATATATATAAAATTTTATTGTATACAAGTTATACTATCTTTCATAGGGTTAGTAAACGCGCTAGTAGAGAAAATTCAAAAAATTTTAATATGTTTTATTAATTTATTATCAGAGAGTGTCTATTAACAATAAATTGTTTCAGAATAATTATTCTATAATTTAAATAGTCGATAACTGCCACTAAAATATTAATTGAATGCAATGTAAACATTAAGAAACTTATTAAATTTATCGCTTCTCTTATATCCAACCAAACTATTTTTAACGTTATCAATTACGTATATTATGCTAACCATAACAGGGCCGGCATGTCAGCAGCTGATCGAATATACGTGACGCGTGGTGTGTAAACAAATCAACAGGGAGTAAGTATCATATGATATATAGACACTACAAGTCACTGCGGATACTAGAGCGATGGCTATTCTTCTTTGTTAATCAACGTTCCTACCGATTCTCTATTTCTTTGCTAAACATCAAACTGAGGGTCGTAGATCTGCCTTTAGAATAAACACGTTGACGGATAAAGCTGAGAGTACTTTTGAAAGAGGAACAGGCAGCTGCTGAACGAGAGCTCTTCAATTACCCCTTATTATTATGCAATGGGGCTGAGCTCTTTTAAATGACAAAGAATCTTAGAACTATAGAATGTTGATCAACGTTTACAATGAAATGATGCTGCATATTGTAACTGTTATATACGTTTATTATTATTGGGAAAGAAAAATGCACATTATTACCTCTGATTTGTCAAAATAAACGGGCATTTTATTAGAAGAAAGACTCGGTCAACCGATCGCGGAAATACTATGCAAAAGGTTATTTTCTACTGTAGTGAAATTTCTCTAGTAATTCATCCGATACACTCTTAGCGCAGGTTGCACTTATTGGCATTCCGTTAACGGCAGGTTATAAACGATTGTTATTGCGACATCATATGAACATAGCGTTATCAAGTTCCAATAGTGTAGTTAAAAAAAATCTAATTATTATAAATTTTTATTGTAAACTCGACCGTAACTACCGCCTATAGAAAGTCTTGTATACAGAGGTTCAACTCACGGATAGTCAAAAATGTTCCAGTAACCTCATCACAGACACATGCATATTATAGTTGTATAGAATACACTTGACGAAAAGTACATTGTGGTAATTAGGCATTTAGACGCATTGAAAAAGAATGCGAGTCTAATTTGCAGTATCAGTATGACAATAAACTCTATCATTTTCAATGACATGATGTTTGAATAAACGGCCAGTGTTCTTGTCTAACTTAAGAGAAATGCAAACCTAATCATTGTTAAGACGGTAATACCAATAGTCACTGTTATCGGTATTATTGGAAGAGATGAACCTGCACTGCAAGTGGCGCATTGGTAACCTGCAACAAAAGCGCGTACAATTATCAATAACAATAATATTAATATAAACGTCAAAATAAACAGACTCGCTATCCATGTCACTTACCATCGTAAGGTGTGTAGGGCTCAGGTGTATACATTGCAAATATCAATCCCGAAAACGGGGCCAAATGTCCAGGTGATGGGACTGGCGTTCTTCCTCGTTCATCGTAAATCCAAAGCGTATAATCACTATTTAACAACGGAGGACTCTGATTTGATGTGTCCCACACGTAGTTTGTGGCATCTCCAGAGAGGTTTGCTATCGGGTACCAGTTTTTGTTCGCGCCTGCTTGTGCTTCCATAGTTAAATTTTTAGGTGCAAGCATCGCCGTTGGACTATATTTCCAGGAAAATGTGACTTTGGTGCCAATTTTGTATAGAGCTTTGTTAGCAGTTACAGCTGGTGTCACCATTTGTATTTGGCCTTGAGGCACATTTGGATCAACTATAGTTTCGTTTGAAGTACTGGTCGGAGTTGCTGAGGTGGTGGTCGGACTCGCAACGCCTGTAGTTGCATTGGTCGCACCTGTATTGGTAGTACCTCCAGCAGCACCTCCTCCATTGCCTCCAGCAGCACCTCCTCCATTGCCTCCAGCAGCACCTCCTCCATTGCCTCCAGCCGCTCCTCCTCCATTGCCTCCAGCCGCTCCTCCATTGCCTCCAGCAGCTCCTCCATTGCCTCCAGCAGTTCCTCCACCATTGCCTCCGGCAGCTCCTCCATTACCTCCGGTAGCTCCTCCATTGCCTCCAGCCGCACCACCACCGCCACCAGCAGCACCACCACCACCAGGATTTTGAGGTTCTGTATGGCAAGACAATTTAGTTAGTCATTGCTTACTAAGTCACTTTCACTTTCCTCTAGCCATTTACACATGGTGTCGCAGGTAATATTCATAATTTCTACTAATTGTCCAAACGAACTAGGATATTACTACTGCAACCTCGTTTACCCCAAGCATATTGTCCACATGTAATACTCAGAATTATGGAACAAAAAAAACTACAGTTCTTGGTCTCTCTCCATTTACTTGTAACTTATGTGGAATGTTAAGTATACTGCTACTCTTGGGACGTAAGATAACAGAGTCTACAACGTCGCGTATGAAAATCTTACACTGTGCTCTTGGAAACCATCAGTATCTACTTATATCAACACAAAAGTAATAAACTTACGTCTTTTGTTCAAGCCATCAGCTCCATCAAAGCCTTCTACAACTAATAAAAATAAACAGATGACGAAGATAACTGCTGCCGTGAAGAGTGCCCCACGCATTTTCATTTTCTATTATGTGCGTCCTATGACGCTCTTTTCTCTATTTGAATACAATAAAGTTATAAAGCGAGTCGTTTTTGCTCTTGAGATAAGAGACGAGGTAAGGTGAATGAAACTTCGAAATGGCTGTGCTATAAAATGGAAAGTCCGAGATTGGGGGGTAAACTTTAACCAAGAATAGAAATGCAGAACCTCGGGAATGTAGTGCAGATAAAGCATTCTAAATATGAACAACGTAAAAAGAAAGTCTATTAATATAACAATTACAGGGACGTGCATATTTGCTAGTATTAATAGAACTTGTAATTATAACTGTAACATATTATTATTATTTCAGAAACTAGTCCGTAATGGTAACCAGGATTATAATTATAAATTTTAATTACAATTAATTGGACACGCCTTTGTGAACAAACCACAAACACCAGAGTAAGAGTCATAGTGCCAAGTAAATTAATATCTACAGCACGTGATTCATTCTTTAACGGATTTTCATGACGTGAACGTTTCCAACATTAGTAAACTATAGTAAACATCCAAAAAAAACTTGCATATATGAACTATGCGGAGAATCATATTTCCAAATTTCGTTTCTCGGTTCGCCGCCTTGTGTAACATCCTTGCATCTTGAAAATGAGACTGGAACATTATCGTGTGACTTGGACAAAAAAAATAGATCATGATCAGAGAATACAACAGAGATGACTATGACATTATCGAAACCATTGGAGAAGGTACATTCAGTGTGGTATTTTTAGCCAAAGACGCTAACACTGGCGACACCGTTGCCATTAAAGCGCCAAACGGAATACTCGGACAACAACGCATACAGAGAGAAATTAACATATTGTCATCAATCAATCATGAGAATGTATATTTCTTTCATTTATTGCATGCTCACAGGCTATGGTTTGCGTATAAAGCTCAAGAGGGCATACACATAATTCACTCACAGATTATTAATCTTTTAGCATTCAAAGAATCCTCAGCAATAGCATACCGACTGCGATTGATACTACCCTACTGTCCTTTTACGATAAAGAGACTGCTCAAAGACTATGAACTGACAACGTTACACGCAAAGGCATCGATGGTTATGATTCTCCGTGGCGTGGCCTATCTTCATGACCAAGGCATTATACATCGCGACTTGTCGCCAAACAATATATTGGTTGACCGTTCGGGAACTATCAAAATTGCTGATTTGGGTTGTGCTTGGACAGAAGAGGATGACAAAGGTAAAGAAGAAGGAGCAGAAAAGAGAGGAAAGATGAATCATGAAGTCGGCACAAGGTATCCCACGGTTTATAAACCACGTATAGTCGTCCGTGTATAATGGAAATTGCATTACATGGCATTACATGTCACGTGTTAACTCTATTTTTCCACAGATATTACAGAGCGCCCGAGATTCTCTTTTCTTCACCGAATTACACAGAATCCATAGATATTTGGTCTACTGCGTGCATTATCGCAGAATTTTTCACACAGCCACCAGGAACACCGTTGTTTTGTGGCGAAAGTGATATTGACCAGATCTGTCGTATATTCAGAGTACTCAATGTCCCCGATGACTTAACTTGGCCAGTAAGAGCATGTTAGTTAATTGTTTTGCTGTTAGGTAATATGATACCATAATTTTGTCTTAAAACGTGCATCTTCAACCTGTATAGGAATTCAGGTATCTTCCTGACTATGGGAAAATAACTTTCGAAATAGACCACAGTGAAGGATTATCGCGCCAGGAACTTCCAAACGCGACAGATGATGCACTAGATTTCATTAAACAGCTTTTGGTGCTTCGGCCAATCGAGAGGCTGCCTGCGAAACAGGTTTGCGTTGTCGATTTATGCTTGTATAGTAATTCGATTAAAAATTCTAATTTGATGATGTATTTTGAAATAGGCTTTGCAGAGTCCATACCTGTCAGAACTGTCAGCTGTTTCTGCCATAAATATGTCTGAATTGAAGAGGCGCATTCCTGAAAGTCTTTGCAGATTATTTTTCAGTTGAAACTGTGAGGCTTTAACTCTAATGCATTGATAGCAATATGAATGACATTATAAAACATCTAATGAAGTAAACGATTGTTTTTCGTTGGGAAATTGTATGCAGGCATGGTAAATCGGGTAAAATAACTATTATACGATTACGTTTGATAACCGTAATGAGTGAAATCTCAGTCCTTTCTCGGCGTTCATACCGCACGTACGTATGTGCCTTCCAATGATGTCTCGCGTATCCGGACCGCTCGTCTAAGATTATTACCACTATTGCTGCAACTAAGCCGGTACACATACCCGGATTAGTGAGACATTGGGAACTTACCAAGCCCGATTGTGTAATTTGTACCCTTGTAAGTTACGCGCGTTACCATCTAATGTGACGTATCCAATAGACATACAAATGCACGAGAAATTCATTACGTATATTATCCATTCTCTCTTAAATACATATAACCCAAAAGCCGTCATGTTCACGTGTTCAGACAAACATTCTAACAGTTGCTCTAAGAAAAATTATCTCTACTGAAAAGTCTTCAGCGATGGCCATTACAATAACCAGAAAGCAAGTGTTGGAGTTTGGCAATAACACGTTAAAAATTTTAGCTAATGCTTAATGCACAACGTGCGTTCTCGTTACAATACAACTATACGTTTGCCAAAGATGACCACTTTAATAGAAAATGTTCTTACCTTTACATAATAATTTGTAAATAGCATTTGTCGTACTTTTATCGGGGACAAGGTTACCATTTACTATGTAATGGATGATATCTTCGTTTATGACACGTCGACGTTAATCAGTTGCGCGTCCGAGTTTACTTGTTAGCGACACGCTAATATGGATAGTAACATTAAAGCTATTCTTTCAATTGTTAAAGTTGAGTAAGTAATTGTCCGTAGTAAATTCCGAATTGATTATTAAGCTTTCGATTCCATGAGAAGTGGCAATTCGATAAAATATATATTTCATTGAGCAATTCCATGTTTTGGTGCACGTCAAAAAAGTTGGCTTGAATTTTCAAGCAAGCTTGTTCGTTAAAAACTCGCGTAAAAGTATTGTCTTGTTTGCTTTAAAGATAATTTTATTGCTAAGGTATAAATTCACACTCGTAACGTTAGGCTCGATTCTTTATAAAAGCTCCCCATTCGTAACGTATTTAAAGATTAGTGGAAAATTGCCCGGCATCATTTCATAGCGCTCTATCCTCCCTTTCCTTTTTTGATTTCTGCTTTGGGAGAAAGAGAGTCAACTATTTTGTAAACGTTATCTCCACAGCAGTGTCAGGCAGCTAACCCTAAAATATTGAGTCAGTCATATAATATTAATAACTTCGGATTGAAAGCTTTCAAATATAGCGTTACCAAATTAATCTTAGTGTCGTGAACTCAACCCACGAACTTTCCCATCATTTTGCTTCAAGTTGGCGTTCATCAAAATTTTGCCTTTGTCCACTTGATTTTGCACTTTCGCTTGGTTGATAATATTTGGTTTACTTTAATCTGTATTCAAAAATCCACAAACTTGTACAGTAAATGCCAATGGAAGTGAAAAAATGAAAGTTTGACGGGACAATTCTATGACAACCTTGTAAACATCTCGGAAAAATTATTAACTGAAAATAATTATAAAAAATCTGACACTGTTCATTTCCCCATCTAATATCCTACTGTTCTATTCGACGATTGCTGACGTTCACTCTTAGGCACGTAGCATGACATCACTTCTGTAAACTTCATTTACAGAACCAACCATTTATTATACCGAGTTAACACTCATTTGGGGAAATAAAATATAACCGGTTTTAACTCAAATAATGTCCATGTGTTCTTTCCTCCCTTCATTCGTTCCCCAGTTAAACGACTCGCTCACTTATTGCACGCTTCTCATCCTCCTCAACGACCTCTCCAACGCGACGCACGTTACCCAGGCCAAATCGACAGATGAGTTCAGCCTCTATCTGTGGATATATTTCATCACTAGTGCGTCCAGCACACGTGACCAATATATTGCGTTTGGCGTAGTATTCGAGGAGGGGTTCCGTCAGCGACATATGTTTTTGTAAGCGAACTTTGAAGATTTCCTTATAACGCAAAAAAAAAAAATAAAAATAAAAAGTGAGATTTAATAACGGAGGGTTTAGAGTATAATGAGGAATGCCATGTCAAAAGACAGGACAGCATAACTTACAGGATTGTCATCAGGTCGTTTAGTCAATCTCTCACCAGTGATATCATCATAACCGTGTCTCTTAGGTGGATTGTAACTAAGATTATACACGCGGCCGGATGGAACATGCACCCAACGATCTACAAAAGGTAAACACGACAAAATTGAATATCCACATCTCTTGTACGCTTCTCACTCATCTCGATACATAATCCAACTAATAATCTATTTACCCATTATTCTTTGCAAAATAACTTCTTCAGGTACGTGTAAATTGATGACCAAGTTGAGAGGTTGACCTGTACTCGCTAAAGTTTTATCCAAGGAAGTTGCTTGATTTATTGTTCGTGGGAAACCGTCCAAGAGCCAACTCTGGAGGCAATAAAATGAAGAGTGAGTTTTGGTGGTTGTTTTTTTTCTGGACGTCGCCCATGGAAATTAAATATGCAAACTTTACCTGTTGTTCGAGAGTGACAAGCTCGTTATTGATTAATTCGATCATTACATCGTCAGAGACAAACGCTAATCATTAATTTTTATGTTAATTAGTTACAAATGCACAAGTATAACTGCACAAATAGACTATTGTGTTTGTTTAACATGAGGTATTTACGTGTATGAACAGGCTCTCACTATTCTCTTTTTCTTTTCCCTCCCTAAATCTTTAGTCCCACTAAATAACTTTGTCAATTTATTCCACCATCTTCTTCAGTTCGCATTCACTCTTAATTCTTACCCCCACGTTCCATCTGAGCAGCTGCCATCTTGCCAACATCAGTCCCTCTTGCTATATTCTGACGTAATAGATTACCACTGGATATAGCGGCCAGGTTAAAGTTCTTTTGAATTCTGGCTGATTGAGTTCCTTTGCCGGCACCCTGCCCGATGGTGTGAGAGTGGAGTGAGATAGATGAGACACCCGTGGTTCAGGTTGTTTCAATGATGGTATGAATGGATAGACACGTTAGATGATTGGGCAGACGGGATGCTTGCCTTATTACGGATATAAATATATTGAGCGTTTTATGAAGATGTCGCCTTTGCTTGCTGCATTATTCATCTCCAATTCTTATGGATACTTTATCTTATTCTTTAATAATTCGTTAAATAACAAAGTACTTACGGGACTACCGAGCAGCAGCAATCGTATCGGTTGGCTATCATAAGCAGGAGATGCTCTTTCGAGACGAGCCGTTCCACTGAACCATCGACTAATTGATCCTAGTCGCTTGCTCTTGGACACGCCGGTCAGAACATTGCCGGAAATTCTTCGTGCCGTTAGTGATATAATCATTATAAATACGTTATCCCAACACTGCAAATTTATAAATCGTTATAGTGTTGTTGTAAGCAGTGATTCCAGGGAACAATGACAAGCCGACGGGTTAAGACGGTCTCTTGGATAAATACCAATTCTCCCACAACATACACAAATGTTGGTGATAGTAAATACTTATAATAGTTGTGTGAGGCATGTGATCATTTATTCCGAATTTTCCCGTCGGGGACAAACAAGATGTTGATCGAGCCGATCAACCAAACAATTAGTGACGTGTCACATGGAAGTAGGAAGAAAAACCAGAGTAAATCAGGACAACGGCAAACTCTGCCTCTGAAAGGAAAGAAATCATTCGCTATGAATATGATTATATAGCTATGTCGAGGCATGTATTACTCCTGGACAGGCTGCAGTTCGTAGTAAAAGGAAAAGGTAATTGCTTTGAAGATTTCCTACTATACAAAAACATGTGCTAGATAACATACATTCAAGGTGTAACACAAACATTTTTATGGACGATCCGATGTTTACTGCTGTAAATAGTTAGTCGTTCTATAGCGAGGAGCAGAAACCGATGCTAGATATGTGATTAGCCTTTGGTGATTATAGCATTTCTGGCTAGTAAAAGTAGATGTGACCACACCATCCATAATCAAGCAGGTGTTAACAGGAGAAACATGCGATCTGCTTGTTTTGAGGACTACCAATTTGTAAAGATCCATTTCGATTTACGTCAGATAAAAAGACGGAACAGACACAGGCTACTTTTTTGTGAAAATGTTTGTGAGTAAAGCGTTATTGATAAAGTGAATGACTAATTTTGCAGAGGCCTGATTGTTACGTTCTACAAGAGGACGTTCAAGCCTACTATTCATACAATACGCGGAGCTGCTTTTCTGTTTTCTATCGAGAGTACCAAAACTTTGAAAAGCGCAAGGTTCCATTTATCTGTGATTGACAAGGTTGGCCAGGTAGAATTTCGGAATGTGTGGCGCGAAGAATTCCGACAATTTCATTAACAAATGACATCGCTCCATCATTGGCTATTAGATACTTCAGGTTTTTAATGGTTGGCAAGACCGTATACGAACAAGTGGAACGCAGCGACTCTGAGCACAATAACTGTTGCGGATGTTTTTAATTCAAGCCTTGAGTAGCAAAATAGAATATACGATGGGTGCACATTTCGCAAAACTATTGAAGAAATATAGCTCTTTTACTTCCGGCAATCGAGCATTGGAGCCTTTGAGCAGGACATCGTATTGGAACAGGATTCCGTGACTTTTTGCAACTTTCCACATATTCGACAATCATAAATCAAATTTATGTGTAGAGAGAGTATTGGACTTGGAAGGAAAAAGGTCAAATTGCATCATCCTTGAAGTTGAACGAGTGTCTTTTTATCTTATCTACGCTCACTTACCAAAAGTATTGGCAATTTTTGCCGCAATAATTTTTATACCATTTTGAAGCTAATTATATTTTTTGAAAAAGAGTAATGTGAAAGTTAAGATATGAAGGTGTGGTTCGATGAAGTGGCGGTGTTACACAAATACCAGCTCGTTTATTAAAACTGCAGTCTTGAAACGACAATGGTTAATTCTTGATTATCGATAAAGGGTCAAAAATACAATCAATTAGCTTCAAGCTGGCATAAAAATTATCCTGACTAACAGCATACGTATGGCTGGCCAAATCATGTTTGAAAAAAAAAAAGAAAGTATTGTTATTTTTTCGTAGGGTGAGTGTAATTGGTTAGAGTCGCTGCTGTAAATATCCGAAAGACTTGTTGATGGACAACTGAAACTCGCGCGAATTAAAGAATTGTAGTACTAACGCCAAGACCCAATGTCAATTACATAAAAATTGGTGCTTTGGTAATAATACATTGCATCAGTAAAATGCTTATTGGTAATAACGTTCTCTTGTCCCATTATTGGGAGGCACGTGTGTTATTTTTGAAAATACCATAAAGTTTTCATGTGTGAGAAGTAATATGACTTGTATCCAATTACTCTATTACATGTGAATATGCGTCTACTTTATTGGCTTTGCCCCTTCAAATGTCTGTAAATTAATGCTTTCACAATAAAGTTTAGGGAGACGTAGATTTCATTACCAAACGCCATAGCATTTAAAACGTTTTTAAAAAGCGTAACATTAAGTTTGTATGTTATAGACAATGTAATAAATCTGGTGCTGACAAATATGCAGCCAGGCTAATTTTTCGATAATTTAGAATTAATTAGTGTTTATATTAGTTCTGCTCCTAAAAGTTAGATTAGTCCTATAATAGCAATAAACCGGTTATTAATCGATTGCCGGCAAATATTAAAAATGTTATTACTATTTGTTATTATTATTTGCTAATAGTGAAACGATACGTAAACAGATCCGAGTTTCATTACAGCTTGTTTATTTGTATAACGCTTTCCATACATGGATAGTCGGTTGCATTACAACATTGTGAGAACTGATAGCAGTCCGCTCAAGACAATACAAATAACAGATATAGAACAATGTTTCTGTTATAAAACTAAAGATGACGTCAGGCTTAAGATACCAATCTTTGAATCCTAACATTTATTTACCTATTTCCGACTTTCATTAGTCATGATCTTTTTTTATTAAACAGAGGGAAGTATGTGTGATTGTTCACCCATATTTGTATTTACTCAAAACAAAGATCCTCTACTTTACTTTATTTGGCAGTCAACAATATTTATTATGCGGGGGAAATTGGTTTCTCTTTGTTCTACGTTGTAGTACGTCACAATGTTGCACGTTATAATGTACCTGTACACATCCACACGTATTCACTGGTGCCTGCACTTGCGTCGTTGTCCTTCCTATCCTTTTGATGTATTTTTAGACATAGCTGATGGTTTTTCTTGCCATGGCGTTCTGTACAACTCTACAGTGTTCACTCTCTTTCGTTCCTCTCCATTGTTAAACCTCATGAACATTAATGCTTACTACACCCTTGAACTATCGTCTACCAACCATAACCATAGCAATACGGAGACCCTCCAATGTGTTTGGGATATGCCCAATCAAATCCTCGGTTAATTGTATTTTCATATTCAAATAACAATCTATTGTCTCGATTTGCTCATTTTAATATATTTTAATACTTGAAAATTCGGTGTGACCAGCGATCCTGTTATTTCTAATTATGGTTGGCTTATTTTCCCATTTAGAGTATGTAGATTTGTTTCGACTTCATTATCCCAAAACCTTTTCGTTTCGACCGTTTTCCACCTTCTCTTACCACATTTTATCTATTATCCGAGGGACCCTTGGTCCCTTCGAAATAACTAGACTTATTTAAGTATTAATTATATAGATACAACGCTGGTCGTTTAGAAGCATCATTACATGTTCACGTCCGTACGTTGTTGCCTATCGAAAGTTCAAATTGATAACTGCTGTATAGTATTATTCCCGAGTTCTCAAACTCATTAATACGGCGTTAAGCCATGCCCAAATTCTCGCCGCGTGCCTGTGTCTTTGGTATCTCAACTTCACTATTGGTAAGCTTGGTGTTTTATCTCAAAATAGAGGCGTAAACTTGATCCAGAGTTTTTAATGATAAAATAATCAATTACTAGTTGTATACTCTAGCAGTAGCTGTCATAACCTTCAAGGGATTGAACAGTAAGTATTATGTAAAAGAAAAAGTTAGTTTTTTTTTTGAAAGAAAAAGAATGTATCTAACGTCCATCATACCTGCCTGTGCGGTTTTGCAGTAACTACTTTACACCTTAGTCAGCCTCTCTTGATTGGGTACTCGTTCGTATACGCTATAGCATCGCTTTTGGGTTTATGGGGAATAATTGGATCATCGCAGGTGAGAAAATGACTCTAATTCGAGGTCATGCAAAAATGATTACAATAACTGACACGCTCCCTTTCATGATGACAGAATAGAACAGATCTAGTGTCCCGGTATATGAGAGATCACTGGTTTGCAACCGTTATGCTGACAATAATCGATGCAATTAAAGTTGTATTTTCGTTTCTCCGCGCGGATAATACGATAAATGTCTGCTTGCAGTCAGATAATTTAC